CTATCAACTAAATTGATGAGTTTAAGCTATGATTTATATTCTAACAATATTAGCTTTAGACCTCACATACATCCTATATTAATATTGTTTCATAACAACGTGCGCTAGTCTTATTATCAAAATTCCAGCCATTCAATGTTTTAATATATATATATATAAATTTCTTTTTTGTCTATATTTAGGGTGGTTTCCCATCACCATTTGATCGTGCATTTGCAACAAAATTGGGATGTAAAGCAATAACATATATTGCATCACTTATTGAAAAAGCAGCAACAGGAGATGGAAAAGTAATATGTAACACACCAGAAAGTGCTGTTGTATTAGGTTTAATTAAACGACAAAGCGAGTTTACACCGGTGGAAGCTCTTAAAACAAAAACTGACACCGAGTAAATTATTTGAATTTTTTTTTATTAAAATTCGAATTTTATTTTTATTTTCCAAAATTTTATTTAGACATCGTCTGCCTCTTGACCAATGGTGGCTTAAACTTCGACCATTACTTCGTATTTTAGCTAAACATGAAAGTGTTTATATTAGTGATTTTATCGAATCAGGTGTCGACGAAGTTGATCAAACACAATAAATTTTCTTTCCTTGTCTTCCCTTTTATTTTTGTAGTAAACCTCGAATATTCTTTTATTTTTTTCTTCTTGCTCATTTACCTATCTTACAATGACCTGTTTTTTTTTCTTTTTTCATTTTTTTTTCTCTAGCCTTCCTCGCCAGTTACATATGTTAAAGGACAATATATTTTATTCATATATATATATATATATATTTTTTTTTCTTTCTCATCAACGCAATAATATAAATAACCTATGATTTCTCCATTGAATGAGAATAATTTATTGTTTAGTTGTCTATTTGCGCAGACATATATATGTTTATATATATAAATGAGACTCGTGATAAACAATCGAAGTTTTAGCGAATAAGTTAGGTAAGAATGGTTGACAGATTATTAAGTAATAGAAATGATTTGTAATATAATATCGCATTGTTTTTTTTTTTCATACTTATTTTGAATATGACAGTAGAAATTTTGCGAGCTATACACATATATTTTTATTCTTTTACAATCGATTTATCTTTATTTATTTATTTATTTATTTATTCATTTTGACTTGAAATGTTAGACAGAAAGAGAGTAGGATTAATAGGTAAAGCAAAAAGAAAAAAGAAAAGACGAAAGAAACCAAACAGTATGAATAAAATGAAAACAACAATTGGCTTGTTCACCTGAATGTATAAATATGATGAATAATGTTTCAATATACAGTTCTTGTCATTGGTATTCGATCTGGAAATAATACATATATTTATATTGGCATTGTTATTCTATTTTAAGCTACATTGATTCTATGTTCGATGATTGATAATGACTGGCAGCAGCAGTTATAGCCTGTTATTGTGCTTGCCTGATGGCATTTATATGTGTATGTATAATGGTAGCAAGAAAAAAGAAAAAAAAAAGAGAGAAGGGAGGGTCATGTCTGTTTATTCGATTACAGTCTTATAAGCATATACATGTCTTTACTCTTGTTCTTTTATGTTTATCAGAAGCATTAGTTTGCCCCTGTTAGATAGAAATGTATGCACTAGTGAAGTTGACTCTTTTTGCTTGTGTTTATCTGCATTCATTTAATGCTTTTAAAAAAAGCACTAGAAATGCATCTTAATTGCATTTTACCTCTTCATAGTTGTTATTCTTGAGGGAGTAAACGACATGTTTTATTATATTTATAAAACCCCTAATAACTGATGGATTTAATTATGTTTTTTTTTTTTTTTGATAGTAACAAATCCTGCTAATCAGATAACATATAGCAATAATATCTGTTTTTTTTTCTTATGTTACATTAGCTGTGCGTAGGAGAATTTCTCAGTCAATATATTATGTTTGACCTTCTATTTATTCATTGTACTTTTTTTTTAAAGCAACCAACGAGTATTCTATTTGTGCAAATAGTCATCCTACGTCTACATGCATAAATATGTATATATAAATCTCGACTTGCCTTCTTCGTCGCACTTTGAATTTTTCTTTCTCTTTGTCTTGAACACAGCTGTTTCGAGTGTACATGAATGCGACGTCTGGACAAAGAACATGAGAAAAATAACGAGATCGAAAGAAAGAAAATAGTGAAAGAACAATGTCTTTCTCTTTGTTATTATCAAAGACATTCAATTACCATTCTCATATTTTCTCTCACTCTCTCTCTCTCTTTCTCTCTATGGTTCGTTGTGGTATGCCGTCTAATCCCACACTGTGGCATTACTCATCTCTATTTCTTTTCTGTTTTTTCTTTTTGCTTTTTTTTCTACTTATAGACGGTTGATAGGTGTTGTTGTTCTTTTTTTTTCGGCCACCATCACGCTTTGCGTATTCTTGTCTACCTTTCTCCATTTATTCTTTAACTTCAACTACCAAATTATATTATATACCTGTCATCGACAACGATTATCTTTTATTCTCGCTTATTGTATTCTGTCAAACGATAAATTAATGTCGACTGAAACAACGACAACTGTTAGTAATGATGGTGATGTAAGATTAAGAGAAAAAAAAGGAACAGCATCAAAACAAAATGGTAATGCTATACAAGATGACATGAAATCGTTATCAACACATACAACAACTTCAACAGCTGAAGAAATATGTCGTGATGAAACGAAAACATCACCAAGGTCACGAGCATCAACATTTGAACAAGCATTTTTCTTAGGTTTAACTATTGATGATGCACTTAATTCAACTGAAAATCTTTTAGAATTATTTTATAATTCATGCAAATATAATCATTTCGAACTTGTACAACGATGTATTGAAGAAAAACATGTAAATGTCAATGAACCATATAATAATGATTATCCATTGTGTATTGCTAGGTAAGTTATTTAATTATTACAAAAATATTTATCAAGAATAGAATGAAAATAATTTATAATTTTTTTTACTTTTAAAATTGATCATATTATGCAAGCATATATTTTCTTCAACCTTTTTAGCCATAAAGGTCATCTCGAAGTAGTTCATTATTTATTAGCACATGGTGCTAATGTTCATGTCAAACGTGAGTTAAATCTATTAAGTACACGTGGAAATCATCGTTTATCACGAGCTAATTTAACATATGGTGATAGTCCACTTTCACTTGCTGTTAAATATGGTTTTGAAGATATTGCTATTGAACTTGTTGAACATGGAAGTGATATATTGAATGAAAATAATGAATTTGAAAAATCTCCATTACAAGATGCTATTCGACTTAATCGTATTCGAATTTTAAATGTTTTTATTGATAAACTTAAAAAAGCCAAAGTATCACATCATGATGATGAGACATTATTAATTCAAAAGAAAGGTGATATTCTTCGTCAATGTCTTATTAATGATCAAATAGATGCATTACAAATTTTTGTTCCTAATGTATGGGAAGAACTTAATAGTGATTTTATGTTTACTGTATTAAATAATCTTATGTTAAAAAATAAAATTCAATCGGATAAAGCATTTGATGTATTGGAAACTATACTCGAAGCTATACCATCATCAAAATTAAGAATGTATGATATTGGTGATTTACTTAGACGATTTTTCCATATTTTACAAGCACAATTCGTAACAATTAGTGATGATCGAATTCATATTCTTTATTTACGTACATCACTATTATTTACTATATTGAAATATCATGAGACAATTGATTTTACTAATTATTTAGATTTAATAGATGCTTATTTTCGTGCTATCTATGATAATGTTGAAAATGCAGGTATATATACATATATATGAATACAAGAATTTTATTTTTCTTCTTTAATTAATATATTTCTATATTTTAGGCGAAGGTGTTAATCAAATATATGAATATATTGTTCGTTTTTATGAAAATCTTATTTTAATGGGTCATCTTGATCTAACAAAAAATTCTGTTATTCTTAAATTACTTGAATGTGAACATGTTCAACAAATGCAACCTATTGATATGTATTTATCATGGCGTGCACGTAATCCATTTTTATTGAAAGAAAAATGTCGTCTTATCATAAAAAATACATTACCATCATATAAACGGGGTACAATTGAAAAACTAAATCTTAATGAAGATACATTTTTATATTTATACTATCAACGATAGTAGTTTATTAATATCATAAACACTCGCAATAGTGATATTCAGTGTTCGTTAGTTGTGATATGAAAACAATAATGCGTTTTTTCTTTTCATCTCCTTGTTTGTGTGTGTATGTGTGCCCGCTTGATCATAATATCTCTTAGGTTTTTATATTCAACAAAACAAAAGACAAAATCTAGATAATTGAATGAGATGTTTGGAAAAAACCAATCTGGATATAACAGTGTGTGCTTCTATCTTTTGTTTCATTTTTATAAGTTTAGTTTTTTTTTTTTTGTTTCGTTGTTTGTTCTCGAAAAATTTGCAATGTCATACAATAGATAGAATAAATTGAACAAAAGGAGAAAAAATTGGTATTAATTTGACCGAAAGAAAAAAAAATAGCGAAGCAAAAAAAAAAAAATTCTGAATTGAAAAAAAACTCGAAGGGATTTATAGTAAAAAAAAATAAACGAAATGTCACATTTTGAGATTCTCAACCAGTACGATAAAGATATTTCATTGCATACAATAAAAGTGATAGACTTATAAGGACGCGAAGAAAAGATAATAGTAGATGACAAATCTTCAAGAACAAAATTAACAACAATACAATATGTTTCTTTATATGGACAAGTGTGGGTGTGAGTATCTGTATGAGGTGTGTATATTGGTATCAGTATTCTCTTCACACCTATGCCTATACTCACACTCATACTTCACACCCTATATCTAACAGAGTCACTTAATGACATCTAGAAAATTTTCGATATTTTTTCTTTCGGTCAAAAGTGATGAATACCAATGATTAGGATTTCAATTGTTTTTGATTATTCAATTAAAGAATATTTGTAGAAAAAAAAAAAAACAAAAAAGTATGGCAACAAATAATGTAGATAAGATGTCTCGTTCGTCTTCTTGGCATCGTCAATCTTCTCAAAATTTATCATCAAATGAAATATGTTGGCTTTTTTATCTTCCATCTGAAATTCTTGAAATTATTACTGATTTTTTAAGTGTAAAAGATATAAATTCATTATCTCAAACTTGTCAAACATTTTATACATTTCTTAATGATAATGATTTTTGGACATATCGTATATATCGTTACTTTCCACAATCTATTGCACAACGTTATACAATTGATCTATTTAAAAAACCTACCATAATTCAAACATATAATGAAATATGTTCAACAGGTTTTATTAATGTTCGAACAAATTCTGAATTTGATATTCTTGCTATTAATTCAGCTACTCATTATAATGATGAAGCAATCGAAAAATCTCATACAAAAATGTATGTATCAAAAGAAGATTTTTTAAATCAAGTAGAATTTTATCAATATAAAAAACCAAATAATTATTTGAAAATTTCATTTATGAAATTAATTTATTTTTATTTAATTGATCGTAAACGATATGCAGCTGTTGATATGGATGTTGTTCATCGTAATGAACATTATCTTGTCGAAAAAGATGATATTGATAGTTTAACTGGTCGTATTATTCATTTACAAAGTGTTTGTTGGCTTGAACTAACTGGTCGTTTTGAACATAAAATTATGCCAGGAAAATATGAAGTTAGTTGGCGAATGAAAGGTGATCTACACGGTATTAGAATATCAGGTGAAACAGAATTTATTGTTGTACCACAACATGGAAAATTATTAAATTATAAAATATCTGAAGATGATTTTAATAATCTAGTACTTGAACATGAAAATCATTGGTTTATAGTCAAAATGGGTCAAATTATTATCTATGAACCATCAATTATTTTAGTGGCAATACGAAATTGGAATAATCCTGATTGGAAACATGGTCTTTCATGGGACTGTATTGAATTAACAATAGTACCATAATATTTTCTATGTATTTATATAATTGCTTATTGATCTGTTTTTCTTTTTTTATGAATCAATAAATATTCGATTTGAAGAAAGACAATGTATATATGACCTTTATGTATGATTATCAGGATTAAGAAAAAAACTATGATAGACAAATTTTGATATATATAACAGGATTAGATATATCATAGATATGTGCGACGAAAAATCAAAATTCAAATTAATCATTCATTGAAATCAATGTCGTTTGAATTGAATTAAATCCTCTAGTTAACTATTTGCAATGATAATTACTTTTCACCTAGTGATATTTCATGATAATCAATAAGTTATCTTCTAGATGATATTCTACATAAATTTAACATAAACAAATATTCATCATATAAAGATAAATGAATTCAAATAGATATATCTAATTAAATTTTGAATTTAAAAGCCTAGAAAGATCAAAGTGCAAATTTCTTCAATTTTAGATAGATGACGCTAATTAACGTTGATATAATATTTCATTAATCGATTATTTAAAAGTTAAATAACATTTTTCAAAGTTCACAAATTTGAAATTAGCAAATTTTAATATATTTTAAAGTATATTATATAAATAAAATATAATGTTTCCATGGAAACATTATAGCTTACAATGAATCGTCTCAAATAACTAATTGTTTTAGCTGAGGCAAAAAAAAAAAACAAAAGGAAATATTATCTTTAATATTTCCACACACCTGCTTCTGTTCTCAATAAAAAAAAGTATTAAACAATGAAAAAAAACAAAATTTTCATACAAACTTGGTGTTTTTTTATATGAATAACTAAATAATGACTGATCATACCGAACAAAAATCACCAACAAATCATTCAACATTTAGTATTGATCCAGTAACATCAACAGAATCTACAGTTAATGATACTATAGCTGCTCTTATTAATAGTACTCCATTAGTTGATTCAAATACACTACATACTTCACGAGATAATAGTCCACAAACATTACGTCGTCGAAGTAGTGTATCAATTATTCAAGCACTTGCCAATACACGACATTTACTTACAACAAATGATGCTCGAAAACGGTAAACATCATATTTTAATTCTATTATTATTTATAAAATTCTTCTTTTTTGCTTTTCAAATAGAAATTTTCTTGTTGGAACTGCAAGACAATTACCAGAAAATACAGCAAATGATATTAATTCATTTTTTCCTAGCGGACGATTATTAACAATAATGATGGTAACATGGAATACAGGTGAAGCATCAAAATTATATGAACAAAATTATACTCCAACTGCTCGACAAACAGCACAACCAAAAGAACGTATGCTTGATGATATATGCGATATATTACTACCAACATTTATTGATTATGTTTCGGATCTTATTATTGTTTGTACTCAAGAAATGTCTGTTGCAAAAAAGAGGTACACAATTAGTTTTGAAAAAATATATTCAAATCAAGGTTCTCGTTTAGGGAGAGAGAGAGAGATGCTCCTCTTCTAACTATCCGATTTTCTACCAATTTTTTACAGCTTTGTGTTAACTTTAGATAGAAACTGGTAATTTAAACACTATTTATAGTTCTCTAGTAGAACGAGAAATAAAAATAAGTGAATAATGTTGTCGTGAAACGAGTAGGATGGCTTGATATCAGAGGCTGGGTCACGATGACTTTCGTTTTAACCTCCCTTCGGTCCTCATTTCTAACATTTTGAGAATGAAAACACTTGTTAATCCCTTCTACTCCTAAAAGCTAATCGACATGATTATCTTAAGTCAAAAAATATATAACAAACAATCAATAATTGTTTTGATACTTTTTTTTTTGAATGGTTTTATTTCTAAAATAATTGTTTTTTTTTATTTTTTCGATATAGAACTGATTGGGAAATTTTACTTCAAGAAGTTATTGGACCAGCACATGTTCTATATCATTCAGTTCATTTTGGTACATTATCATTATGTATATTTTTACGACGAGATTTAATATGGTTTTGTACCGGTATATATATATATATAGACATAAAATAAAAAAGAATATCTAGTGCATTTTTTTTTTTATTATTTTTATGTAGAACCAGAAGAAGATATTATTAAATTTCGAGCCGTAGGTCCTGTTCGTACTAAAGGTTCATTAGTAATAACATTCAATCTATTTGGAACATCATTTATGATTATTAATTCACATTTTGAAGGTTTGTTCTTGATTAGAAATATTCAAATTTATTGAATTTATTTTTGTTTTCATTTTAAGCTGGTCATGGTTCTGAAGGTCGTACTAATCGACGATTAAATTTTCATAATACAACAACAAAATTATCAATACCACATGAATTTATTCAAAGAACATTTAAAAGTATGAAACGTACAGCATCTGCAGTTGAATCTTCTATTCCACCAAGTCTGGAATCAACAGCATCAATTGATTCTACTTCGCGTGCCGCTGTAGGTAAATATAATCGATTATTAATTATTTGTTTTTAATCTATATTAAAAAAAAAATATTTTCAATATAGATATAACAAAATCATGTGATTGTATTCTTTGGGCAGGTGATATGAATTTTCGAATTGATATGCCACATGATCAAGTATTAGAACTTTGTAAAGAACGAAATTTTCGTGAAATTTTACTTAAAGATGAATTTCGTATAGCACAAATGAAAAATAGTAAATGAATGAATTTTATTTTTTAAATCAATTAAAAATTCTTTTTATTTGTTATTATCTAGATGATCTATATGCTAATTTTAAAGAAGCTGATATTGATTTTGCTCCAACATATAAATTTGATTTACGATATGATGATGATACATATGCTAAACATAGAACACCTTCATATACAGTAAGAATAGAAACTTAAAAAAGAAAATAGAAGCAAATTCTCAATATTAAAATAAGCGATAATTAAATTGGAAATCATCAAAAAAAACAAACAGATATGAGAAGAAATCAATAATAAAGGATTATTTGTAATTTATTTCGTTCGATAATAGACGTGACGAGTTGGAAAACAAAATGCTACATTCGTCTGTAATGTATATCGTTCCAAGTACTTTTTCTTTTTTACTAACAATGTGTGACATGTTCAAGAACAAATATTATTGCTGGGAATTTTTATAATTAATTTTTATAAGTTACAAAAAAATCCTCGAAAAAAAAATTTACTTTTCTCATTTAATATCAAGGGAAGAGAAAGACAATTCAAAAGTTTTCATTCAATCAAAGAATGTAGTCTTCTTTTTTTTCCTTTGTATTATCAGCAATAATGAGAGTTTAATCCTAAAGAGTATTTTGGATCAGAATTGTCGATATTTTTCAGGGATGGGAGATGCTAGAAGTGGTGACCGAGGGGGACAAGAACAAAACCCATTGTGATTCGTTCCCTTCCACAACAGACGATCTATCACCAAGCTGTTTCATCCTCAATCCTATTCATCTCGTAACAACATTGCCAGCTTATCTTTGCTTCACTTTTCGTCTGAGAAAAGCAAACGGTATTTCAAAATCCGATTTCTACCCAAAATTATCACAAAGCTGTAAAAAATTGGCAAAAAATATTATTAAGAATTTTCGCTGAAATTCGAACATTTTAAGGAGAAATTCCCTCTAATCGAGAATCCTGTTTTAGATAGTTCCTTCATTGGAATGGAAATACTCTTCTTTTGGAAGGACTACTATAGCTGATTACCTACGTTGCTCGACACATATCCATAAAGTACTCTGTGCAAACTTGAATAGCACCAGGCATGGAGTAATCGTGGACAAATCACTAATGACTATTTGTCGCGGACTACTTGTGCGATAGCATGCTCATTACGTTCTGACATACGTCTGCTCTTGTGGCTAGTATGCTGCTAGTTAGTGTGTATGAGAAGCACAAAAACTCTGTATCAGGCCGACCTTCTGTTCAGAACTACAGTTAGCCATAGTTCTATGAAAGATATCGGGCTATTGAATCTGTCACTAGGCGACACCACATATCGCACGGTAGCTTTAAGGTAGAGATATTCTTGCTTCTTTATGTTATTGTTGATCTTCTTTTCTAATATTTTTTAACTTCGATTAATCGTGTAAAATAAACAATGATGGAACTTGTACAATAATGGATTTGATGGTGTGTCACCAGACAGAGTTTTATTAGAAGGAGTAGTCATGAACGATTATAAGCTACTATTCTAGGTATATCTGTCAGGTCATTCTAATAAAGAACTTATAAGATTTATTGTTGACTTCTTTTACTAGAGATAGAATCGAGTTTTCTTTGTTTATCAAATAGAGTTTTATATGAAAGATTTAGCTGAAATCTTACATTGAATACAGTCTTATCGAAAGAATTATTTGTATTATAAAGTAATATTTTTTTTAGGATCGTATTCTCTATCGCGATAAACCAACATCATTGATTGAATGTACACAATATAAATCAGTTGAAGGTGTAAAACATTCAGATCATAAACCTGTTGTTGCTCATTTTCGTGTTAAACTTAAACCAGGTTTACATACGTAAGTTCATATAAATTTAATCTATTATCTATCATGATATATTTTTAGAGGAAATCTATCATATGGAAAATTTAATCATGATGTTTATAAAAGTGGCATGTATTATTCTTTTTATTAAATTTTCTATACATGATTTGTTTGTTTTTTAAATAGGTTGTAAACAACGTGAACGACATCATTCTCTAGGTGTTGGCTTCGGACACAATGCAAAACGTCGAACAGCGATCCCAAAAAGCTCAGTTTGTGTGCTTCAGTGAATTTTATCGTTTATGTTTTTAACTAGTCATATCATGTCATGTTTATGTTCTTTTTTTTTTTTTTTTTTGTTGAACACGTTCAACACAAAACAAAACACACATATATATATGTGTATATATATTTGCGCTATAGTGAAATAAAATGCATTAAGTTATTTATATAAAGTTAATTATCCTTGAACAGAGATATTTGATGTTATTGAAATATTAAGATCTTTATTCAAATCTTGATCTTCATGTAATCGACGACGATAAGCAAAATATCGTTTAATTTTGTATGTATGAGCACGCATAGAACATACATTAGGAAGAATTAATGATAAACGTGACCATTCAGGTAGAACCAAATGACAACGAGGATTACGATATCTAATTTTAAAAATATTAATTATATATATATATATAGATTTTTTTTATTTATTTCTCGATTTTTATACCGATTAAGTAATTCATAAATTGAATATTGATATTCTGATTTTTCGATTGTTGTCGATAAAGATTGTTCAAGAATTTCATCGGTTGTTTCACAAGTTAATTGTTCAATAGTATCACCTTGACCGAGTATATTATTATTGATATTATGTTTATTATTATTATTATTATTATTATTATTTGAAAATTCATCACCAATATTCGTTGTTTCAGGTGATGAAGTTTTTTGAGTAATTAAATGATTATCATTTTCATTATCTGAATTATAAAATTCTTCAAGAAATTGATCAAGATAATGAAAATCATTAAAATCAGAATCTGATGATGAAGATGACTAAAAAAAGAAAACAAAAACAATATTTAATAAAATAATATTGATTTCTTTTTTTTTTTTTTTCGATTAAATTATTTACTGTTTCATTATCATCATCATGAAGTTTAGATCGACTTTGACGTGGAATAAATATTGGTGCACTTGGATCAAGTGTTGAACCAATATTATCCATCATTTTAACATCATCAGCTGAAATAAGTGATAATGATGATAGAGCTGCATTTACACTAGGTTCTTTATTTGAAAGACATGATGATGGTGATGCAATCATTGTATCAAAGACATCAAATGTACCATTCGTTGCTAAAAATAAGAAAAGAATGATTTTATGTAACGTTAAATCTGTTCATTTTTTTTATTCTTGAAATAAAAAATTTCTGTATGTATTTATAATATTGTTTTGTTTAAGTACTGAACTATGTGACGTCTTTAATCTCAACAATTTAATAGTCAAAATTTCTCAAAGTGGATTTAAAATTTTCGTATCTATCTGATTATTTAATAGTTTTGATTACACATGATATTTTGAGAATCAAACTAGAACCGCGATTCCAGTTTCGAGTATTTTTTGAAGCCGTCGAACTCCAACTAAAGGTACTGTGATCTTGATACATATTTGGAATTACATTGAAAATTAAGGTGATTGCTATGAATGAGAGTCATAGTATTTTAATTCGATTTTTTCAATCAAGACAAGACTATTTTTCGAAAATAATGATTTATTAATAATACTTAACTGAAGGTTTTCGAGGTCAAGGAATCCAAATTTCTAATTAGTTTTTCCGATATTATTCAGTTAGATTTTTTTTTATTAGTGGAAATCTATTTCTTATGATTTACTCACGTTTTATAATATTCAGCTATTTTTTTGAAATAGACTTCCTCGAATCGAAAAAATTGAACTCAAGAATTTCGAATTCCTCGATGTCGAAAGCTTTTACTCAAATTTTATAGAAAGAAAAAAAAATCGTTAATAGTCGAAAAATAATCTTATCTTAATTGAAAAAATCAAATTAAAATAGTATAATTCTCACTCATAGCTATCATATTAATTTCCAGTCTAATTTCAAATATGTATGAGCACCACAGCATCTTATAGTAAAATTTGGTGCTCAGATACTTCACTTACCTCCTTGCACTTTTATTCCAGTTATATCTTACCGATATTACCAACATTAGGTACACTTGGTACGTCATTATTATTGATTGATTTATTGATATTATTCGTTGAAGAATCATATTGTTTCATATTTAATGTATCATAAAAATGTTTCATGAGATCATTATGTTGTTGTAATTGATTTCGTTGTAAAGCTCTTTGATAAACTAATCGTGCATGTTCAGCTATCTCATCCTTTGTCATAGGACGTGTTTTAGGTACAAATATATTTGAATCAACTTGTAATATTTGAGAATTTCTTCCTGAATTTATTATATCTTTTGATAAATCAATATTTGATATTGGTATTTGTTGATTATATAGAGAAGTTGAACATTGATTATGTTTAATTGAATCATAATGTAATGAAAATATATTATTTTGATTATTTAATAATTGTTGCATAAACATTGTATTAGTATTCATTAATTGTAAATAGAATAATGGATTGATTGCATCTGATTGAAGTATTTGATTATTACTAAATTTACTTAAATATGCTTGAACCATAGATGATAATTGATTTATATCGCCATTGAACATAGAAGCAAATGGATTTGATGGTGTTTGAAGAGAATTTGAATTGATACTATTATTATTTTGTGTTGTAAATTTTGAATTCGATGTTATTGGTTGAGTATTATAATGGGATGATAGTTGATCTAAAGAATATATTTTGTTTATCCATGAAAAAAAATAATTATAAATCAATATATAGATCTAATAGGTTAATTAGCTATATTTATATATATTGACTGTGATTTAGATCGTTATCAATTATTCATACCATGATTAGTACGATAGATTGTTTGTTGTTGAAGATGATTTTGTGTTAATAATAATGAAGGATAAGTGTTAACATCTGAATCTATTATTGTCGAATTAGAATGTAATGATGTATTTGATGGAATTAAATTTTGTCGAATATTTGTTGATAAAATAGATGAAGAAAAATTTTGTTGAGTTGTATTACCTGTTGTATTACTATAATTATTATTTGTATCACGTAGTGTTTTCATTTTTTTTTTTTTTTTGTTGTTTCTTTAATAGTGATTGGCTTTTGATAATGTATTATGACATTCTACGCGCGAATTTTCTTGTGAATTAAATTTCTTAAACAAAAAAGTATTTACGGTTGGATATTTTAATGTTTTATATACTGAGAAGAAAATGAATGTGAAAATAATATTTTCACATTTTCGAAGTTTAGTTTTTCTTTTTTCAAATGATTTTTTCTTCAATGGAGAAAATCATGTCGAAATGAATGATATCAAATTCTATTATACAAAACCAAGTTTTTTAATTCTACGGAAAGATATATTTCATTTCCAACATCAGATCTATTCCTCTATATAAAATGTGAACATAAATTTTTATCTTTTTATTATTGGAATGAAAAATTTGATGATCTTATTATGAACAACACAAAAAAAAATAAATAGTAATAACATAAATATAAGACTACAATAATAAAACAAACAAACTTAAGGATAGAATAATCTAAATCTCTAATAAACGTCATAATCTCACAATAAATATTCAAATGATTTGTCTTCAGACACACACACACGCATTCTTATTTGTTATTGCAAAATCATACGAGAATACAAAAAAAAAAAGAATTTAATTCACATAAAAAAAAAGGAAATAGGTCAATTAAATAAATAAAACATCACACATATTTTTTGAGGTTAAAATAAAACCACACCGGATTAATAATCATTTACATTATTACTGTCATTATTTGATTCTAAACGTGATAATTCAAGCGCTTTTTGAATTGCCCAAATAGATAACGCACGCATATATCCACACTAGATATTAGAAAACAAAAAAACAAAATTTTCTTTTATTTAAAAAAAAAACTAAAATACTTACAGATCGAAAATGACCATCACGCATCAATGCTTCAGGTGTTTGAAATGCCAAACCAGCTACATTGTAACATGTATTATAAATTCCTTCAGCTGTAATAAATGCTTGAGTTTTTAAATTCTATAAAATATAAAAAACTGTTAATACAATCCTTGCGGAATTAAAATATGAAACACAATGTAATGGTTGTTGTTGTTAATCACAAGAAGATTGTTTTATTCTATCTAACCTAGAACACATTACTTCCCCATCGTTTTACTCAATCCTTCAGAAATGTAATAACCATACATCAACAACATATGTCACTGTCTGTGATGTTTCTATGGTTGTATCTGTCACAGTTGGTGATGACTCGTTACTAAGATATTTGTCACATCTGCGGGAGGATTCGAATTTTTACTCCTATACTTCGACATTCCTTTTAGATTGTGTTTTACAAAAATTAAAATATGAAATTAGACCTTTCTCAATAAGAAAGTGATCTGTCTACTATATTATTTTTTATTAGTGTTAGTATGTCTGAAAAAAAACCAATCATTTAAAGAGTAGGATAAAATTATAAAAATTTCACCTCCATAATCATTGTTGATGATAAAGCATATGTAACTCCAGTCCATACTTCTTCTGATTGCATACTAACGATTTCTAATCGTCCTGAACTAGTCATTCCATTAACAGCACCGAGTTTTCCATGACCAAATGTCATAACATTCATATTAAATATCGTATCAAGTACACTATTAATACGATCTTTTTCAAAATCCTATAATTAATAAATGAATTATTATTACTATCATTTTTTTTTCTTTAAATTTAATTTTACATCATATTTATGACCGGATAAACGTAAATACCAAAAACCAGCTAATTGATCCGACATAATACAATCATGATGATGTGATAAACTTGAATCATAATTATAATATTGTCCATTCCATAATTTATCTGAATATGATTTTTTAGCTAATTTAAGCCATACATCATATTCATCGAAAGCATTTTTATCATTCATTATTTGTGCCATTTCAACACAAGCACGAAGAGCACCAATATGAAGATTACCACAATATGCACTAAACAAAAATACAAATAAAAGAATATTGAAATAAATTAATGAAAAACAAAAACAAAAAAAAATTACCTTGCTCCAGTTACTGTCCATGCATCATAAGTTTGATCAGCAAAACCACCATTATCAACAAGACCATCACTATCAGTATCTTGTTTTTTAACACGATCAGTAACCATCTTTATTTATTATATAAATAAAAACTTATTCTTTTTTTTTGTTTTGTTTTTACAAATTTATATTTCTTACTTTTACTGTTGGCCATACATCAATAAGAAATTGTTTATTTTGAGTATAAACATAATCTCGATATATTTGAAGTAAATATTTTAAGCTTAAATCTTTCCAATCAGCTGTATCATGAGCATTATAAGCATTAACTGATAACCATGGTTCTTCATCTAAATAGTAACAATAACAAAAAAATTTCGAAAAAAAAATAATACAATCATATACCAGGATCACCAAGATCATGTGGAACGGAATGTAATGTTTTCCAATGAGCTGCTCGACCATGAAATAAATAAGTACGAGTTTCACGTTTTTCATAAACTATTGAACTAGCTAAAAATGAAAAATATTCATATCATTCATTATATTCTAGAAAAATAACTAACCAAAATCATATTGAATACTCAATTCTAATTGAGGCCATAATTGAATTAAAGCAAATGATGCATAAAAATGAACATCATATGTATTTATCATTCGATATTCATGACCTAGAACAGAAAAAAAATGTAATAATAAAAAAAAATAAAAATAAAAATATGAACATTTGTAATATTTACCTTCTAAATAACCAAATCGACCCCATTTTCTAACATGTTCAGGCAATGTAGTATCTTCACTGACATCAAGCCACATAGTTCCACCATCAGCAATAAAATAAGATTCATTAAATAAAGCACTTTTATACCATTCTGGTAATGATCTAAATGACAAAACAAAGTCTATTTCTTATTTAAATTATAAATAATCTATTTACTCATCATCTAAAATTGGTTGTTGCCATTTTGCAATATCTTCTTCCCATTGTATTCGATTTTTCATTGTATAAGTGCATAGAGTTGATCCAGTAAGTGTAGTCGCATCAAAAAATTTTGTATACCATCTAAAGAAATAATAAATTACAAATGAAATTTAACATTAAACAAAAGTCACCTTCGATATTGTCTTTGTCCAAGACCAAAATTAATTAAAGGCATATGCCAAGCAAGAACAAATTCAGATGTCTTGATAGAATTTGGTTCAACTGTAGTTGATATACATACACAACTAGCTGTATGAATGGTTGTTGGTCGAACAGTTTTCGGTTCTTATTATAAGAAAAAAAAAACAGTAAGTGATGTGTAAAAGAGTATTATCTTGAAACTTTTTAAAATTTTAGTCATTGAAATGATGAATAGTTTACATAAAAAACGTAGTCTTCAGTCAAACTATCGAAATTTTCAAGATTCAGCTACTAATCTTGTACAAGCCATTAAGAATTAGACAAAAAAAAAACATACGAAAAAATCGTCGTCTCGGGAAAATATACCGTCGTATTCCCAAATTTTTGACAAAATTCTAGCAGGTCGGCTGATTGCATTTGTTCTTAGTGAAACTTTTATCTAGACTTTCAGGCATTACGAATTCTCTTACGCTTCGATGGATTCTATCATCTAGGAATATCTGTTTCGAAGCTAACGAATGTCAAGAATTTTCATTCTCTTCTCAGAGATTATCTCGTATAGACTTTATACACTCAATTTTCATAGAAAAATCTCTACATCTAAACATATCGACATTAGGTTACAAAATTTTCAATTAATGAAAATTGTTCCAGACATGCCACAAAATCTTGCCGAATATATTGGAACATATAGACCATAATTATCTATAAACCGATATATTTAAATAAAGTTTTTTGCAAACTGTTGAGATGCAATAAAGACTTTTTGTTGAGTCTATCGCAAGAAGAATGGCTATTTGAGTTCTGTGAAGATTAAGTTATAGCTCAATAGTCATAAGTCCCAAAAAAACTTCTGATTCTAATACACTACTTCTCACTCTTTTCCAATGTATTTAAATATACGACAAATAATCAAATATTTTATCTAGAAACTTTCGGCTCACGTCTTACTTTGCTAGCCTCTATGTTTCGGCTTGAGATCTTCGCGGTTTTATATTATTTCAGTGCAGACAAAAGTTTTTTTTTATTGCCAAATAGTAAAAGCTAACTGAACGGTCCATCCAAACTAAACAATCCTTTTGTCGACAACAAACAACTCCCTGCTGACATATGTAGCTACGATTTAAAGTAATCCTTTTATAAACTTCAGAAAATTTATTTTTATACTTTATTAAAAGTCTTTCTTTTATACCTGTTAATCGACCATCATCAGCTAGATCAAACCAAACATCATTTCCATCTGTATTCGAATGAATATTAAAATTTGTTCGTGTAGTAATTGTATTATCTAACTAGAATTTTAAAATAGTACAAAAATATTCAAAAATATTGATAATTTTTCTTTTTAGATATTCATTTCAATAAATACAAAAATACAAACCTCTTTTTTTCCCATAATACAATATTCAAGTTTCATACCACGTAATGTTTGTTTGATTGATATACCACTAGCTGAAATTTCATCATCAGTAACATCAATAGATTCATGTGATATATCTCGACATGAAAATTCTTGAGAAGCTACAAGAACAAAAGCAATTTTTAAGTGATGTCTATGTCAAAACAGAGAAAAATACCTGAACCAGCTTGCCATGTAAACATTAGACTAACTTCAACGGGTTCATCATTCAAATTTTCAATATACCAAAGAAAAGAAGCGACTGGTAGAGATGAATCCTTAATAAAAATAAATAAATAAATAAATAAACATAATTTTTCGAATAAATTTTCTTTTATTCTATACTTTATAATTATGTGGAATGATAGGTGAAAGTTGTTTGCATAGCAATCGAATATTTTGATTGGGTAAATCATATGTTGTCCATGATTGAGGATATAAGGCTTGATAATGACCATTTTCTTTTGGAAATGCACAATTCCATGAATTGAAACCTTTTTTTCTTAATCGATATGGTGTTAATACTTGACAATAAGTTGTTTTATTTCGACGACGAATACAAACAGTAAACTAATTTATATCGAAAAAAAGAAAATCTTTTTTAGGAAAAATATTTCAGACACAAAACCGATAAACAAACAAACAGTATTTGCATCGACAGTATTAAATTCATAGAGACCAGGTACAAGTTGATAACGACAAAATTCTCCACGAAAACCTCGACCAATTGTTCCACCACCTAAACCTCCAATAGGTGCACCTAAATAACAGAGAAAATAAATTAATTGTTACTTGCTTCTTTCATATACACATAATACAAAAATCAAAACAAAAAATTTTCATTTACATCCAAAGAACAAGTGATGTAAAATTAGTTTTGTTTTCAGTATAGTGTAACAACAACTCATCATAGAGACGTAATAGTTTTCTTGTTAGAAAGAGCAAAGTCTCTGAAAAAAAATACCTACATGTTATGTGTGAATATAACTGATACGATGTGAACTTTCTAGTGGTATCAAAATATTCGAGTTACAAAATCATAGGTTCTATAGGAATAGGTTTTATAATAAAAACTTGACGTATCCTCTACAATACCAAATCAAGTTTTTCACATGATATATAATAGAAAAACTGTATTCTGTTTTATATAATGTACTTTTGTAGAGAACTCACTAAATTCTAATTCGATATAAAACATGGGGTTCCGCTAATTTCGATTGCTGGAAAAAAATGTTAATTGTCGAAATCACTTATTAAGTGTGAACATTTTTCGCTAGCAAATGTCGATTTTGAACTCCACCGATAACTTGAAAAATATTATTTTTATCTGGTTACAATGTTCTATCATAGTGCTATAAACCTCAATAAAAGACGGAAAATAAGATGAACTTTCTTAGTGAATGAAAATTTTCTTCTAAATTCCAGAAACGAAGAGAGAACTATCTAGACCCATTATTCTTAAAAATTTCTCTTTTATTCACCATAAATTTGTTGAAGTGGAACTGGATTAAGAAAATCCATATGTGCTCGTCGTTTTGCTTTTTTTAATTTATACCATATTCGAAGATATCTAATAAATAAACACGAAACAATTTTTCTTTCTTTTACATTCATGAAAATTACCTCATAAATAATGGTACATATTCAATTGCTTGTCTTAGTCTTGGCCGTGTAAATGGTTTCCATATTGGATCAAATTGTTTATCAAAACGAACATGCCAACCATATTTAGTGGGTATTAATTTATCAAGATTTGATATTGACATATATATATATATATATAAAATAAAATCTAAAACTAGAAAACTTAATTCAATATCAACATTTTATTTTTATTTTTTTTATTCATATTAAATCATTTCAATCGTTATGAATTATTCATATTTCGAAAAGAACATTTTTTCTCTTCGACAACTTATTGATAATCTTTTTTTTTTTTTATCTTTTATATTAAGCTAAAAAATTTGTTAGAATGATACGAGAAGTACACACACACACACGTCGATACATCTGACACAAGATATATATATGTTACGAAAAGAAAACAGAAGCAACCAAATAAAAAACAGAAATCAATGGACGGATTCAATAGGATTTTAAAAGAGAATTCATTCTACAGAATTGTACAACGAATAATAGTTTTTCCTTGTGCAGATCTAGCTGCTTTTGAAGTTATATGCATTGTAGCAGCATTACGACGTTTTTCCCTAGAAGAAAAATAAATAAATAAAATGAATTTATCTATGAAAAATTTTCAATTATTTTACCAAAGATCTTGTAACCATTTTGATGATTGATAAAAATGAGGATCACTTAAACGATAAGCAGCACGTTTCATTCCATAATAATATAAAACAGAAACTAAAAAAGAAAATATATATAAATAAAAAAAAAACCTCGAACAAACTTTATCATACATGTACGTTGAATTACATAAAAAGCTAATACTTCTGGTTTTTTAAAGACACTATTAACAAATGCATCATCCGAAAAACGTTGAGCCTATAGAAAAATAATATTTCAAAAATAAGAATATAAAAATAAAGATCTAATTTTAAAAAATTACAAGTATAAGTCCTTGAACAACAGCACAAAGTACCAAATAGAAAAAAGTAATAAGAATTGAAAAACGAAACATGCGAAGAAGTAAACTGACTAAACCAGCTTGAGCAACATAAGTTGTTAAAATCATAACAATAAGTAATGTAACTGCAAGTACAATACATACATCTTGAATACTAAATAAAAATAAGAAGAAAATTTCTTTAAAATTTCTTTTCTAATGTATAGATTCTTTTTCTAAATGTATAACAGAATTTACTTTATTTTTGTCAAATAGAATAGAAAAATCTAAAAAGAAAACCTAATTTTGTATATGTACATTAGCAAATCAATGCTTATAGAATTCAATCAAGAATATGATTCGTAGGTTTTGTATTATTCGTAGTATTTGCTTTTGTGCTAACAAATATTTGTTTTTATTCATAGACATTTTTTTGTAATGATTTTAACTCTTATTATAGTTTATAAATTAATATAAAACAGATTTTATATTTTTAATAGAAAACTTTTAAATAATAAAACTCTCGTTTTATGTTCTTTTTTTTTTCGTAGCCCAAAACTTAATAAAAGTTCTTTTAATGATTAAATCATTTAGAATAGTTTAAAAATAAATATGAAATTAATAATTACATAAAAATAATAAGTTGTCCAAATGTATTTGGTGCAAGAAATTCACTAAATGTATTAATACATATGTCAACCACAACAAGAAGAATATTTAAATACAATAAAATTCGATAACGAAATGGAATCACTGTTAAAAGATGTTGTTGTTGGGTATCTATTGTTTGTGGTTTCATCTTGTTCTTTTTGTTTTTTAGATAATTATTTTCTTTTAATAATAATCAATGACATGAAAAGGAAATAATGGTTGGTAAAACAAAAATTGATCTTCGTGCATGACAATTTCTTCGTCAAGGAGATAAAACAGAATCGTTTGTATTAGCCAATAAAATACTGAAATAGAAATAAGACGCGTAACCAATCAACTATTAGCGACATCTAACTAAATCATACAAAGAAGAGGATTTCTTAGCTCGAGCGGAAGTATATGTTTAGCAATCTTTCTGGAATATGTTATATACATGAATAATTCCATTTGGACAATCTAGAAGTTTTAATTATTACGATTTATTTAGTATATAAGAAGAAAAAAAATCAATGTACACATAAATATGATGTAGTTGATTGACGAGGGGAAAAGAAAAGCACGTGCATTATTAAAAAAAAAAGAGAAACCATCAGTTTAAACTTGTCACCTTTATTATTTCTACCTGCAGTCGATTTCTATATGGATACCTTTTTTCAAAACGAAGGCGTGAAGAGGTAGGAAGCCAATGGTTCCCACGCGAATGAAATAAAAATCCTCATTGCTTTGTAACAAAGTAAATACACATATATACATTGAGACATACTTTAGATAAAGTTTGGCTAAGTATAAATATATCAGTTTTGTTTTTATATTTTATTACAAAGAAGAAAAGTAGTGAGGTTTTTTTTTCCATTAAAGAAAGATGTAAAAACATTTGACTTATTATTGATTTTAGATAAGATTATGGGCAATACAAAAAGTTCGTCGAATAGAATAGGAATTAGTATGATTAATCAGAAACGACCTCAACCAAGTGTAAATAAACATCAGAATTTATCTGAACCAGATGATCCACGTAGTAAATGGGCTTTATCTGAACGAGATATTAACTTCCTTTCTTCACAAACCGGTAAGTATATATATATATATATATTTTATGTAGACTTTATTAAATTTTTCAATCAACATGAAAATAATGATATTTCTACACTATTCATTTAATTTAATGAATAATAAAATCTAATGAAAAAAAAACAATACAAGATTTCTAAAGACAAGTGAAATAATTTAAATATTTCAAGTTAAAAGAAATTCGTTTACATCAGTAGAGCTTTTTTTTTATGAATCTGTTTAAAGAGATAGATGAAATAATATATTCATGATTATCTAGGGGTCAAATTAAAGAAAAATAGTAAAATTTATTAAATTTCTATATGAGTCAATGTTATTTGACATGATAATATTCACTCTTCTATAAAAGTCATGTCTTTTTGTTAGAATGAAAGTACAATAAGGTTGAAGTCAAGTGCATCTTCTTAAATCAAGTTAATAATAAAAAAAAGCCATAGATTAGATATTTTCTAGAGAAAACTAATAACAAATCAAGTAATCAGCACTACTTCAATATTGAACAAATAAAACGTCAGTGAAATAAATTGTCACGTACTTACAAGGTTCTGTTGTTATCGATCTTACCCTTGAGAAAAAATATTCCATGATATACGTCCTAGAAATTTTTTACTTTTATTCCTAAATATTCATAATAATAATAATAGATGTAAAATCGATTATTTTATTTTTCCAAAAGGTTTATCACAAGATGAAATTCGTATATGGCATGAAAAATTTTTCCATGATAATCCAGATGGTCGTCTTGATCGCAATGAATTTCGTAAATTATATCGTCTTCTTCGTCAAGAATGTCCTGAACGTGTAGACAATATGTGTGATCATGTATTTCGTGCATTTGATGTTGATGGTAATGGTTATGTTGAATTCGGTGAATTTTTACTTGGTTTTGCTATATGTTCACGTGGTGATCTTCGATCACGATTAGATTATGCATTTGAATGTTATGATTTAGATTCAAATGGTTATATTACAGAAGGTTAAATTTTTTTAAAGAAAATTATAAATAATTATTTTTGTATTATTCTAGATGAAATTGAACCAGTTCTTCGAGGAATGTATACTTTATTAGGCATAAAACATATTGAAGATTATCCACCGGACATTGTTGCTAAAGATTTAATGACAAAATTAGATATAACTAAAGATGGACGTGTAACTAAAGATGAATTTATACATTTTCTTATGAAAGAAGGAATGTATAGAAATACGGTTAATCCGTTTCATTAATTTTTCTTTTTTGTACTTTCTTTTGAAGTTTTCTTTTTTTTTATTGTCAGATAATAGCAAAAGAAAGAAAAAAAAAAGTGTTTTAATTTTGATCATAAATACGATGTAATGTATCGGTTAATATATAACCTAATAGATTGAGTCCTTTCCAATTCGATCGTTTTTCAATTAATGGATTATCTTGTTTTAATCCAACACCCCATATACCATCGTTTGCTGCTGCTTCAACTAATAAACTTCCGTATTGTTTTAAAAGTACTTGTTTTAGTTGATCATTTTCGGTAAACTAGGAAAAAGAAAACAAAAAATTTTTCTGTGTTTTTTTATTTTTATTTTTATGTTTCAAATTCAAGTAAAAAATGAATTCTAATACTTTTAAATAAATTCCATTTGAAAGAATACGTGTTCGATTATCCATCCATAATTGTTCATCAAAATTTTTTACAATTCTTCCTAAAGCTTTACAATCAGCTGGAGTTGTTGCTTGAAGAATTCCTTCAGCTGTTTCATTATCATTGAATAATTCTTCGAGTGAAAAAAAACAAAAATTTTATTTGAAAAATTAAAAAAAAAAAAAATTTTGCTTTTACTTGCTTTATGATACATCATATATTGTTCAGTTGTATGAAATTGAATTTCATTTTCTGAGAAACTACATGGATGAAAATTACTAAAAGGTGATGCTGTTCGATAGAAAAAATGAAATTTATTTGGTTCATTATTTGGAAAATGTGAATGAACACGTTGAATAAGTTCATTTTCAGATGAAGTTAATATAGAACTTGTAGAATATGCTTGTTTAGCAGCCATAGAAAAAACGTCTTGAAACCTATAAATATTTTTTAATATTTTATGAATCATGTTGGTTTGTTGAGTTACAGGTGTTTTTTATGGTAATCAGTTTGAAAAGAGTATTGCGTGTTCGTTGCGCAAGATTAAAGTGAATATATGACATAATATTTATTTTCTTTGTATTGGTTGATTGTAAATTTGATAAGTTTTTTTTTTCTTGAAATTATATACATATGTAAATTCTAGTTTATTGAAAGTTTTTTTTTTTTTTTTTCATTCAAAAAAAATTTCTAGACTGATTTTGTTTTATTTTCGTTCATTATTCGATAAGAAATGTCTGTAAGTATATAACCCATTAAATTAAGTCCTTTCCATGTAGATCTTTGTGTAATTAATGGATCTTTTTCACATAAACCAACACCCCATATACGATCATTTGGTGAAGCTTCGACTAATAATGTATCATTGTGTTCCAAGAGAATCATTTTTAAATCTTCATTTTGTGTAAACTAAAAATTTATTAAATAATTATTGTCATTTAAATTGTTGTTATAAAATTTCAAGAAAATAGATAATAACTATAAAAGGTATATGTTATAAGATGTTTGTCATGATCAAAGGAAGAGGAGAAGGATCGAAATTTCTACATTTATATTTCAATGGTTCTTTTATCAAGTTAAATTTTTATTTCACTACTCCAACAAATTCTATCAAGTAAATTTTAAAACTCTGTAAGCCAAAAATGTAAATAAAATAATTCTCTTCGTTTTACTTCACTGACGTTCTAGCATTTTATTCGAATTATTTTACTCGCTAATTCTCAAGAAAAATATTCGACTTCAAAAAAATTCTTGGATTGATTATATTTTATTCTTACTTTAAGATAATTTCCATTAGAAACAATCTTTGTTCGATTATTTAACCATGTTTGTTCATTGAAATTTTTTACTTTTCTTCCTAAAGCTTTACATTGACCAGGCTTTTTAGCATCAAGAATTTTTTGAGCAATATCATCATCATTAAATAATTCTAATTCATATTAAATATTAATATAAAAAGAAAAGTAAAAAAGAAGATAATAATGATTTACTTGCTTTATGATACATCATATATTGTTCTGTACAATGGAATTGAATATCATTTTCAATAACTTGACATGGATAAAAATTACTAAATGGTGATGTATTTGTATAAAAATAGAAGAATTTAGTTGGATTATTATTTAGAAAATAAGCATGAACACGATTAACAAGTTCAATTTCAGATGAACTTAATTCAGATTGAATATTTGTTGCCATAAATTATGTCTACAAAAATTATATAGAGAAATTTCTAATTTATATATTTGTTTATGCTTTTGTATAACTGTTGAGTAATATCAAATGTTGTGCGTAACAGAAGTGTCGCATGGGTGGGTTAACCCGTCCAACCCGTTGGGTTGGAGCTTCCAATGGTTAGCTTCTAACCCAATCCGGTGGGTTGGGTCGACATTTGAAAAATCTCAAAATCCACCCACCCATCCAATTTCAGATTCAAACCCTGTCCGGTTACCCAGGGTTGACCATTGAATGAACCCATGAAATTAACTCTGTTTCTATAGAATAATTATAGAAAATTTTATTTAATGAAGCTGTCGTTACGATATGGCGTATGTGATTCATCAGTGCCTTAATTTTCTTTGGTCGGTTGATCGAATGTAAATTCGATATAAGTTATATGAAATTTACATTCTGAAATGTAAAATCAACTCCGACGACAGAGAGAATAAAGAGTAAAAAGACGATAACTTATTTTCTCTTTATTTCCTCCGTCATCGGAGTGTGGGTGTGGGTGCTGATGTTCTATTTTCTAGCTACACCCACACCCACCACGGTGAAGATTATCTTTTTATCCATATGAAAATAAAAATAATATCTATTATTGTATATCCTATAAAATGATTTTTCATTTTATTAACAATTTATACAGCGGGATTTGAACTTGCATTTCTCTTAATAATACTTAATGAAAAATTCAAATATTATAAAACCCAGGGTTAACCCAATGGATTACCCAATGGGTAGGGTTAAGCTGCTCAACCCACCCCTATAACCCATGGGTTAATAAAAAAAAATAGTTGAACTGATTTCCACCCAATCAACTACCGACTATGGGTTGGGTTACTCATGGGTTAAAAAAAAACAAAAAACGACAACTCTGGTGCGTAAATAAAATAAAAAAAACACATTAAAATCATTCACTCTTCATAGAATCAGAGGAATTGAATATTTATTAGTTTGACCAATAAAATGATATTTTTTTTCCATGTAATCTTTTATGATTTTGTCAATAAATTATTCTATATCAATAATGAAACTTAATAAATTCATATTCTCGAGATTTCGTGTACATAAAGAAAACAAAAAAAGAATACAAACATTTCGACATTTTCCAAAGAGTTTTTTATCTTACGAAGAAAGTTATCCAGATGTTCAATCACTTTTAAACCGAGACTATGTACATTATGTAGACCTCTCAATGAGCTCTGAATAGCCTGAAAAGAATTCATATTCTTAGCTTATTTTTACGAAAATTTTGCACAGTTATGATATTGTTGCAGTAAATGCCTTGGCCTCTCTCAGAAACACTAGAAAAACTGGTTTTCGAATTTCGACTTGAAACATTGTGTACAGACAAGCCTTAACAAGAATAGTTCTTTGTGAATATTTCAGATCTTGTCGCTGTTTCTATCCTCCGATATAACTATAGTAATAGTATATCTCTTTTCCTCATATATCGGCTTGTCCACGTAACGCGTCACCTCGCTGACCAAGAATTCGAAATCATCATTTCATCAATTCGCCGTTGCTACCTTGTAGAGCACAGTCTATAGTATAGAGAAATATCTTTTGCTCTTTTAATAAGTGCTGAAAATCATATTTGGTAATTGTTAATAAAGATGTCACTAAATATGTATAGGAGAATAATAATCTGGACCCTATAATTAGTCCAACCCTTCTATCGAAACATTATGATGAATATATATATAATTGAGAGCAATTGATTCTACGGTAACAGAAGTATCATTTGGCAAAACAACCGACTTCCTACTTGCTAGTGTCTTTTACTACCGCATCAAGCAAAAGTACCGAATTGAAAGCGTCATCGCGTAACGAAAAATGAGTATTGTTTGTTTTTCCCTGGTTTGTCTCAACTTTTTTTTATACAAAATACATACCTAAAGCTAATTTTTTATGGGCTATCTGATGCAAATATTTTTATCTGAAAAAAATTTCGTTTTGTAATTATTGACGTAACGCGATGACGTTTTTTACCGTTTTCTACATTTTTTGCATATCTATAAAAAGCTTTTTCAGATAGTGATTTATTATTCAAAAGCCACTGTAAGCTATGAGTAATGTATGTTTTTATTGTTTACTAACAAATTGCCATAAGAATATAGGTGATTGGTCTAATAAGCTGATTGAATTCAATTAAAATTAAATTACCGATTAAAATCGTTTATCGTTTCTATGATATATACGTAAGGTCGGAGAAACTCAAAATTCCAGTAAAAGTCTTTCCTCGATGGTTTACATATGGTTAGATAGAGCTCATAAAACTGTCTAAGAAAATGTGCTTTACATCTTTTTTTCATTCTTTTATATACATAAAAGACTCAAAATACTGAGGTCATTCCGTTTAGAATGATCTCAGTAATAGAATAATCTTAGTATTTTGAGTTTTTTATGTATATAAAAGAGTGAAAAAAGATTTTAAAGTACAGTTTCTTAGACAGTTTTATGAGCTCTATCTAACCACATATAAATTATTGAGAAAAAATATTTACTGAAATTTTGAATTTTCCCGACCTTACACAGGCATTGCTATACATAATAGGGAAACTAGATGATTTTTTTTTACAATTTTTTTTGTATTAAAAGGATTAATAAACACAGCATTTAACATGTGCATACTTTAATCCTTAGAATAAATATAACATCTGGTCTTTACAGAGGTGTATATATGACAAAATGAAGCATAAAAAAAACTATTACAGAAGTCATCGTCATCGCGTTACGAGCCCGTCATCGCGTTACGTTAATGAAACTGATCACTCTTCAAAACAAGGGGCCTGTTTGGAAATTTTTTTAATCTGTTGGATACCTCAAACTCTTAGCTACATACCGTCTATGGGACATTTCTTTTAATGTAGTATACATCCGCAGAAAAATAAAGAACAACCATGTCACCCTCAACTTTTTGTCCCTTGTTCATCATCGCGTTACGTCACATATTTCTGCTATAATTTTCAAACGGCTTGTTCAAATGAGTTCATATTTTCCGAGGTTTGGGGGAAGACTGAGACACATCTTCCACCGAAAGCACGAGCCTTCTAGACAACCTCATTATTGAGAAAAGTTAATAAAACTGTGGACAAAACGTCATCGCGTTACGCTTGGACAAGCCGATATATAAACTAGCAGAATTGATACTTTTATTTCAGGATATAAGCAAATCAAAAGACTTGAAACTACTCTCGTTAAGGTCTGGCTCTATGCAGAGTTTCAAGTCGAAATTAAGAAATCATTTTTTGTAGTGTTTCGGAGGTAAACCACAGCATTTATTTTAAAAACGTTTAACTGCAGTATCTTCATAGCAATAAGCTAAGGGCAAGAACTCTTTTCAAGATATTCATAACTCATTTGGATCTATATAATACATATAGTCTCGACTCAAAAGCGATTGAACAGTTCGAAGACTACACTCGTCAGATTCACTTTTGAATTCTTCTGTCTATCACTGTTATAGCAATTCATCAATTATCTTCAAATGCAAAAAAAAAAACCATTTTTCATATTATCTATGACTTTGTTTCACATTTATTATTATAAATATCCCAAATTGATACAGTTCGATCTTCACTTGCACATGCCATTTGTCTTGTATGAAAATCAAAATCAATTGAATTAACTTGTTGTCGATGTAGATCCAACATAGCTAGTTGTTTTCCAGTTTCTCTTCGAAATAATCTTATTCTTGAATCCCAACCAGCTACAGCTATTAATTTTCCATCATCAGGTCGACATCGTATAAAACTTGTACCAGCATTTGGCATTTCTATATGACGAAATTTTGATGTTGGTTGTAATTTAAATGATAAAAAATCAAGTGAAATTAAATCTGATTTTGTTGTACCACATAAACATGTATTACAAATAACATCCATTGCTGTTATTGGTTCATGATCAGATGTTATTTGATATGTATCAAGTTGTTTTGTTGTTATTATATCGAATACATTTAATGAACCACTTTCATATGCAACAAAAAGCCAACGATTATCATAAACACGTAATTTCATTACCATACCATGATTAATATTTGTTGATATAGGAATAAATTTTTTAATAATAGGATTCGAACATTGATAATCAAGTCCTACTATTGTTGAATGTTCATCATTACCACTTGGAACAATAATAAGATTTGGTGATATAATATCACAATTTGAAAATGAACAATGATTTGTTTGATAATTCCATTGACATTGACCATATTCATTCCAAATTTTAACAAAACCATCTTTACTAAATGTAATTAATTTATTATTTTCAATGAATTGATTTAAACCAAGTATTGTTGATGTATGAGCATTAGATAATGAAAGAATTGGTTGACGATTACGAAGATTATATAAATAAACAGAACCTTGTTGTTCACCTGTATAGAGACGTAATGAATCTGTTAAATCATATTTAATACATGTTACTCCAGATGAAAAAGAACGAAGAACAAATGTTGGTAATGGTGGCGGTAATGGTGTATGGTTTTTATCCATATTCTGAAAAAATAAAAGATTATAGAAAAAATTTATATAATTCGTTTTTTTCTTTTAGGAAACTATTTTGATATTGAAACAAACGTAAAATATTCAAATTTATTTTGTTGTCTTATCGTAATATGAAAAGATATATATATATATGAAGCAGTTTCAACTTTTTCGAAAGATTTAAGTTCTTAAAATTTTTTTCATTAAGAAAATTTTGTTCGTTTGAGATTTTTGTTAAGTATTGATCTCATTTGAATTTGGCATTTTTTTTTGCCGATAATATTGCTTTATTTCATGTATTACTTTATCATCTTTTATAGCATACAAAAAATAAACGAATATACGATCATTTTAGAAAAATATAATTCATAAACAATATTGAATTTTTAAGAAATCTTCATTTAATAAAAGAAGAATATTTGAGTTTAAGGCGGGTCCCTTTCCATTCCAGAATGTTAAAATGAAAATTTTTTCGATTTTTGATGTTTCATTGCTAATATAGCTTCGTAGTGTCCTCTATCAAATGGCATATAACTGAGAGCTCTCCATTGTTAGCTAGTAGTTTTATTAAAGCTAACACACAAAATCCCTAACACCGCTCGTTTTCGATCACTTTAGTTGGAGAAAAAAATAGTCCTGATACATACGGGAAAGTTTGTTTTGCGTTTTTTTTCTGAAAATTAATTCTTAAACAAAAAACGAGGTTTCCCTTCGCTTTTCTTCCACATGAATTTTTTTCTGAATACTTTGATCAAATTGGAGTGCATGTTTTTGAGTTTCTTCAAAATATTGTTTTTCTGCGAAATTCGGTAACCTTTAAAAAACTAGAATTATTGCAAAAAAACACGTTTTTTGGCCGCACTTCCAGAGAAATTTTGAGTCTATGGCAATTTTTTTGCTCTACTTATCGAGATCTATGTGCTTTGAAAGTTTCATAATTTTTCCTCGAGTCGTTCCCAAGAAATTCCGAAAAGGGAGGGTCTCCTTAAGATATTTTCTATTTATCTTTTCTTCACATATCATCATAAAATACAATTCGTAAATTTTCTTCTATCAGAAATCATATTGACAATGCATAGAAACTTACAAATCTTACAAAATATAATTAAAATCTTCTTGTATGTAATGAAATAGATTTCATCATGTTTTATCGTTGAAATCAAAATAAATGTCATCTCATTGAAAATATTTTAAGAATTTATTTTAATCATATTTTTTTTTTATTTAGTTTTCTCTATACAATGTTTACAAACTTGAGCGAATACAAAAAAACAATAGAACAAACATTATTTAAGGTAATTCAATTGCTTGAAATACCATTGTATGTTCAAGTATCTAAAATAGACAAAAGAAAAAAAATATGCTTTTCTTTTTCTTGCAAAAAAAAAAAATTTACATTAATAACTGCACGAGTTCCTAATGGACTTGCTTCATTTGGATTAAGTAATGCATTATTAACACGAAAAGCATTATCACCATTATTTATAATATAAAATAATCCTAATTTACGAATTATCATTCCTTGAATATGAATTGTTGTTGAATTATCAAATGATATATCATATTGTCGATCAAGAAAACTAGTTCCAAAATTGAGCTAAAAATTAAATAAATATAAAATAAATTCCTTTTTTTCTTTTTTTTTTTGTGAAAGTAATTAATTATACCTGATCAGAATACATACAATAAACACGATTATTAACATGAAGAAGTGCATAAGGAAGATCAGTTTTATCTGCGAATTCTTCTTTATTACCTAATAGAAAAACAACAACAACAAAAAAAACCAATGTCTTCAAACTTTTAATTAACTTACGAGATAATAATTCAAATTCAAATGGTGCTAATAATTGACTCAATTTTCTTGGAGTAGCATGTTCTATTATAAATAATATTTATTATTGTATGAAAAAAGACAAATTCTTTAAAAATAAAACCTTGAATCGTCTCTGTTTGTTGAGGATTATCTAAATCAAACAAACAAAACTTCAATATGAAATTTCTATTTCAATTTACTAACATGCATCCTGTTGATCACTAAGACGACCTTGTTGACGCATTTGTAACCAACATTCACGTAATTCATTAATAGTTCGATTCGACCAAAATTTCTGTGAATTTTTACTTAAACATGCATCTAATTCATTATCAAGTAAAGTTGGAATTGTCTAAATAAAAAAATTTTTATCCAAAAAAATTAATTCAATTTCATATACACTAGTGGACAAAAGTCTCTGCTCTAGAAAATCTCAGCTATTATAAATACTGAAGGCTTGAGAATTTTTGTACACATACTTCATCAAGAGCAACATAATTTTGCTTCGATTGCTTAAGGGTAAAGATAATTATGGTGGATGATACCTTTTGTTTTTGCATTAAGCTTTTTAACCTGAAAAGAATTGTCTACTCAATTCTGCACTACTTTCAGATCAAATACATGATTAATTCTTGATGTTCTTTTTTGAGTGGAACTGAAGTTTAGTCTATGATTATTTTTTACGCAAAAGATGAGTTCATTTGCTCAAATATTGGCATTTCTGAATCTTCTACCTCATCAACACGATGCTTATAGGTATACCATTTTCCATCAATACATTGTTTGTTTACGAAACTTGTAGACGCTAGTGTCCAACTGTAGAGGTAACTTTTCTAAGAGTTTGGGCTTCATTCATTAAATCATTACTATGTTCTCGTTTCAAAAGGACATTAGTTGCGTGGATCGCTGGAATACAACACTACATAATGAGCCGTTAGCTGGCCTAGAAAGTTCATCTTTTCCGGAGTTGTGAAGTTCAAAGACGGCATAGATGCCATCCCCTACACTCTTGACAAAATATATGCACACAAATTTTCAGTCCTCTAGCGTCTATAATGGCTGCGATCGACTCGGACAGAAACTTTTGTTGACTACTGTACGTATGATGGGATTGATGCTAATAATTGTTCTTCTTCATCATTAAATGGTATATGTAAATTTTCTATTTGTGACATTGAAAGTTGTTGTATTTTTGTTACAATCATTCTAAACAAAACAAAAAAAAACCTCAGAAACAAGGAAGAAAGAAAGTCTTTACTTTGAAATTGATACATCATATAATAAACATTGCCATCGATCTTGAATATTTTCTAATGAAAATGGCATTGACAATTTTACTTGTTTATGAACACGTTCTAAATCACATAAATGTAATATACTTGTAATTAATACATAATCATCTGCTGCTGTCCAACAACCCATTTGAATAGCTGTATTACGTACTGCTGTCTATAAATAATAATTTTAAGTTTGACAAGAGAAAATTTTTCATCTACCTCAAGATTTTTATTTATTAAATCTGTTTGTTCTTGATTTTGATTATTCATTGACGTTGCCATATTTTATGTATTTAAAGATAATGAACTTTTAGAATACACAAGAAAAAAAACAACAACAAAAATCTGAAGAAGAAGCAAAACATTTTTATTATGGAGTGTTACTTATTATTATAACAACACATAACCAATCTATGCTTAAGAAAACAAAAGTTTTCTTATCATTCACTGTGCGAATACTGTCCTATGGAATGGATAAACATAAAACAAACTAAAGAACAACAAAACCTTGAGAGTAAAAATAAGTGTTACAATAAACTAATTCTAAACACATAAAAAAATCCATCAGAATATGTAATAATGAGAATAATTATATATTTCATCTGTAATGATCTACTCGAGTTCAACAAGTAAATCATCACCATTTACTTGTTGGCCAGCTTTAACATGAACTTTCTTTACTTTACCATCTACTGTACTCTTTACCACTGTTTCCATCTAAATAAAAAATAAAAAAGGAGTAAGGAAATTATCTTGGCTTTTTTTTTTGTTTTGTACCTTCATAGCACTTAAAACAACGAGCGTATCACCTTTCTTTATTGAATCACCTTCCTTAATTTTTATGTCTAATACTTGACCAGGCATTGGTGCACCTAAAAATACAAGAATATATTATGGTATATTCATAATTTCCATTTGATTTTGCTCAGAAGATGAAAGGCACTCAAGTAGAAAGTCAACTAATAGAATAAATAAAATTTCGAAAAGAAAAATCATTCTAATCCTTTTATTTAATATCTTAGGAATATTTCCTCGTAAAACAAGTAATAAGAAAAAAAAGCTAGACTCATCAAGTTTGTTTCAAAGTGTAACTTATTAAATAAAAAATGAGTTGAGAAATAAATCTTACCAATTACATTCATTATTTTGGTGACAAAGAAGGAATAAATAGTTTTTTCTCCTCAATACTCTCTAATTTGGAACGATCACATTAATGAAACAAATGTCTCAGTTGATTAATGGCTTTTGAGATGAGATAATACACATCATGCAGACTTTCATAAACTATGAATAATCTGAAAACATTTCGTACACTTAACTTAAAGTTGCTGAAATAGTGCATTTTTTTTGAGCTTGAAATTTTATGCAGAGATAGGACCTTAGATACGATAGTTTGTTTTGAAAACTTCAGATCTCTTCGTCATTCCTATTCCAAAATAAAAATATCAAATCTATCAGTGTATATGACCGATATAAAAGACACGTTTTTACCATAGCCATATCTTAAGGTAGGAATGAAGAAAGGATCTGAAGCTTTTACAACATATTATTCTGTCTAAGGCATATCTCTGTGAAAAATTTCAAGTTGAAAATTATCTTTGTAAGTATTCCTGAGGAAAACCATGGCATTGTGCAAAAATTCAGTTTCTCGGCTGTAGTAAGCTAATAGCATGAATTCTTTTCAGGATATTTACAGCTCATTAAGGTCTACATAATGCACATAGTCTAGACTCAAAAATAATCAATCAGTTGTGAGAGTTCCCTCGTTAGTCTGTTTGACTGGTCAATTTGAAATTTTGCTATTGATTTATAAGAATAATTTTTTTGAAGTCAAAATATTTCTGTCACTAGAATATGTCAAGTTTAACTTCATTTTTTTTAATACGAATATTAGTGATTTCAAAAAAATTTATTTTCTCTTTGTTTATTATTAATTTAACTTACCAATTTGATTCTTCATACTCTTATCAACTTTTGGATGAACTTTTTGATCTTTAATAGCTGCTTTATCTTTAACTTTCATTGAACGTAATTGTCCATTAACTTGAAAGAATACTTCACGTTCACCAGTTGCAACCATTAAATCACTTATAGCTAATACAACAATATGAAGAACTTTTCCATGTTCAAGTTCAACACTAATATTAAAAAAACAAACAAACAAAATAATAATAAAATTTATAATTAATCGAATTAATTTACTCCATTGCTTCATTTAAATTTGGTCCAACAAAAAATATTCTTGTTGGATAAAGAGTAACAGGACCATATTGTTTTTTAAAATCAATATATTCTTCAAGTACTTTTGGAAACATAACATATGACATAACATCACATTTACGTATAACATCTTCACCAAATTTTTTCTTTAATTCTTCTTCAATTTTATCAAAATCTAATGATTTTGCATTAGCACCTGGACGATCATCAATTTTTTTCTTTCCTTTTAACATTTGTGTACGAAGTGGTTCAGGAAATCCACCATGTGGCTAAAAAATCATAATAATAATAATGAACTTTTTTTATTTAAATTGAATAAAACAAAAACAAATTTACTTGTCCAAGTTGTCCTTGCATAAATTCTACAACACTTGATGGAAATGAAAGTTCTTCAGCACGTTCATGTACATCTTTAGCTGTTAAATTATTTTGTACCATAAATTGTGCAAGATCACCAACAACTTTTGATGATGGTGTTACTTTAATAATATCACCTAAAAGTTGATTTGCTTCAATATATGAACGTTTAACACTTTCAAATTGTGAACCAAGACCAAGACTAAATGCTTGAAACTAAATAAAAAACAAAAAAAAAAAATTTCAAAAATAAATACTAATCAAAAAACAAAAAAAGCAAAACAACATTGATTATTTTACTTGTAAATTTGTATATTGTCCACCAGGTATTTCATTTTTATAAACATCAGCATTACCACTTTTCATTGTTGTTGTACATTCGAATGGTGCATAAAGTAAACGTGTTTGTTCCCAAAATGCTGAATATTCATTTACTTTATCTAAATCTATATCCGTATCATATTTTGTATTTTGTAATCCAGCAACAAGACCACCCATTGTTGGTTGAGATGTCATACCACTCATTGAATCAACAGTTACATCGACAATATCAACACCAGCTTGACATGCAGCCATATAATTCGCAATACCAGTTCCAGCTGTATCACTGGAAAATAATAAAACAAAAAAAATTATTTTATTTGAAAAAAATGAAAATAATAGATGTTTGATATTTGTATGTTAGATTTAAAAAAAAGAGGACAAAAAGAGAATATTATTTCATTTGTTAGAAATCTCACCATAAAGTAAGAATAGATTTAAAAAACAAACAAGAAAGAATTTATAGAAATCAATGTTAATATTACCCACAATGTTTGAGATAACAATGTAAACAATCACAATAAATATCAAATCAAATATTTACATAGTTTTGAATATTCATCTTGTTGGATAATATTTAAAATCTAAAGTTAGTCTTATATTATCCTTGTAAAATGATCCAAAAAGAATTATATTCTAATATAATATCTATTAATTATTCAATTGTTGTTTGATACCAAAGAATTCTGTTTCGATGAGAAGAACAAAATCAAAGCAATAGATATTATTCTTGTTCCTAATAAATATCACAAAACGAAAGATGGAAGAAACTCTAAGAATTGTAATGTAGCAGCTAGATATTTTAAGCTCATGAACAATGGTAGAAGGGTTTCATAATTTCTATGTTAACAAAGTTTTTACGGAGTTTGAAAATCAAGAAAATGTTCGTTTCACTATGTCTACTTACTGTGTATGTAAATGTATTGGTAAATCTGGATGTTTTTGTCGAATGGCATCAATTAACATTGAAGTTGCTCGTGGTTTAAGAAGACCAGCCATATCTAAAATAAATCTTTTCATTTTTATTGAATTACCAAAAAAAAAAGAAATTCATTACCTTTAATAGATAAAATATGTGTACCCATTTTAACAAGTTCATCAACAAATTTCAAATAATAATCTAAATTATATTTTGTTCGTGTTTTATCAGCAACATCACCTGTATAACAAACAGCAGCTGATATAACACCATTTGCTTTTCCAACAGCATCAATTCCAACTTTCATATTTGGTAAATAATTTAATGAATCAAATATACGAAATATATCCATTCCATGATCAACAGCCATTTGACAAAAAGCATCAATAACATTATCAGGATAATTTGAATAACCAACAGCATTTGCACCACGTAATAACATTTGAAATGGAATATTTGGAATTAATTCTCGTAATTCAGTTAAACGATCCCATGGACATTCATGAAGAAAACGAAGTGCAACATCAAAGGTAGCACCTATAAGATTTGTTTTTTCTTTCAATTTACATCAACAAAAAAAAAAGAACAAATAGAAATTCTTACCTCCCCAATTTTCTAAACTATAAAATTGTGAAAAATTTTTTGCAACATATGGTGCTGATTTTTTTAAATCAACTGTTCGTACACGTGTTGCTAATAAACTTTGATGAGCATCACGCATTGTTGTATCCATAATTAAAACTCTAATTAGAAAACAAAAATATATCTATATTTATGTAAAAGAATTTTACTTTGGATGTTTACGAACAGCTTTAGCAAAACCTTCTGGTCCTTCTTTTAATAAAACTTGACGCCAACCATCAGGTATCTGTTTCTTTTTTATATATGGAAGTTCAGGTTTTATATTCATTGGTTTAATATCTGTACCTAATGGTGTTAATGGTCCATTAATTAATATTTCTGATAGATAACTAAGTAATTTTTGAGCACGATTTTGTGATGGTACAAATTTAAATAGATTTGGATTTTCATCTAAGAAACCCGTAGTTATTGAACCTTCAAGAAATTGTTTATGATGAAGAACATTGAGTAAAAATGGAATATTTGTTTTAACACCTGAAATAAAATTATTATTTTGTTGTCTTAAGAATGTATAATTTTTCTTTATTATTTTATTTACCTCGAATACGAAATTCCTTAAGTGCACGAACCATTTTAGAACATGCTTCTTGATGATTACGTGCATGTGCAATGACTTTAACTAAAAGTGAATCATAATATGGACTAATAACAGCATCGGTATAAGCAGAAGCACTATCAATACGAATACCTATAAAGAAAAACAAATCTTAATTGTCTAAATTCCATTTCAAAACTAACCAAATCCTTCAGCTGAACGAAAAACATCAATACTTCCAACATCTGGTGTAAAATTATTAGCTGGATCTTCAGTTGTCATTCGACA